TCTTTCTGAGATGTACAAATCTGTTCTAAAGCATTACTAAGGTCAGTCCGGTGGGATGATTCTGAACACTGAAGACCAATAATGAGTATATATTGTTTAAATCTGTAAATACTGTTCACTGCGGAATGGACTGATAACCTTAGAATTGCATTTCCTTTTCTATTGGTTCACTGTTACGATCGAGTGCTGGAAGGAAAATGTTCGTACAATCACATTTGATGGGAAAATCCCTTTCTCTCCTCTTTTTCTCCCTTCCCCCAGCCCCAGCTCAGTTGTATATACCAAATCTTCAAGGTTTTCTCACTTTTCAGTCATTTCATCTCTTCTGTCCCTTCTCACTTCCTTCTAAATATCTCCCTCTCATTCTAACCTGGAGTAGTTACCCTCTGGGGCTCCTGAGTAGTTATTCTGGAATTTCACTCCCTCCACTGCTTTCCTATGTTACATTTACGACATTCAGTCTCACATTTCTCCCCTTTCTTGATTTACCTCCTCATTTTGCTAGAGGTAACATTTCTGAGTCATCAGATATCTGAACGTTTCCATATTTCTCCTATATATTTATTTGACAGTTTGGCAGTAAATAGCATCAACTTTAAATTGCTTTTTTCCAGGATTTCAAGTGAGCTGTGCCATTGATGCCAGTCTGTTTCCTGGAGCATTATTGGTGACCCATTTTTCTTTCTGAAGGCTTTTAGCATCTTTGGTTCTTGAAGTTCTAAGGTTTAATAATAATGTATCTAAGTATGGATGTTTTTCATTCATTATAAAATTGACGTGTTTACAGTGTTAATATAAGACCTTCTATATCCCTTCCTTTTAACTTTCTGATCTCATCTCATTCTGCCACCCCCTTGCTCACTTTGCTCCAGACACACTGGCTCCTCTTTCCTCAAACGTGCCTCAGGGTCATTGCACTGGTTATTCCTTTTGTGTGGAATGCTCTTGCCTCCAATATCTGCATGGCCACTTCCTTACCTCCCCAGGTCTTTGTTCAAATGTCACTTCCTGAAATGTCATCCTACTCAAACTACCCCATGTAAAATTGTAATCTTCCTCCTGCCCCCATCCAAGCTCTTCTAATCCTGTTGTCTTGATTTAATTTTCTTCATAAACCTATTAGTGAATAAAAAAATATATGCAAACTGTAATATTATAAAGATATATTTGGTCTTTGTTACTGGATCCAGGCCAGAGGTCCTAAAACCCTAGTAATTTCCTAAGTGGTAAGAGGGATGCAAACATCTTTTATTATAATACTTGCTTTTTGTTAATATGAAAGGAGCAATGTTTGTTATTGATAAAAGCTTTTGTCAACCACACTTTAGTTTATATCAGTGAGGTGGCTTTTGGAAAGCCTCTAAGGGTGTCAGGGGAACCAACCATGTGACTAGAGGATTGGAGCTTTCAGCACCCCCTTCAGAGAGATTGAGTGAAAACACCAATGGCTAATGTTTTAATCATTATGCCTACTTAATGAAGCCTCCATAAAAAACCCTAACTGAAGGGATTTGGAGGGCTTCCAGGTTGGTGAGGAGGTGCTGGTGAGGAGGTACTGGGAGGGTGGCATGCCTGGAAAGGACACAGCAAGTCTGCACCCCTTTTCCCATACTTTGTTTTATGCATTCCATCTGGCTAATCCTGAATTGTATCTTTCTATAATAAATCAGTGATCTAATAAGTAAACTCTTTTCCTGAGTTCTTTGAGCCATTCTAGAAAATTGTTGAAACCAAGGACAGGGGTTGTGGGAACCCTCAATTTATGGCAGGTCAGTCAGAAGTACCAGAGGCCTAGACTTCCAGTTGGCATCTGAAGGGCAGCCTTATAGTAAGCCCTTAACCTTGGGATCTGATACTAACTCCAGGTGAATAGTGTCAGAATTGAGGTAAATTGTTGGACTTGCAGTCAGTGTTCTCAGAGAATTGAGGAGGATTGTCTGATAAGGGAAAAATACACAAACATATATACATACGTGTGTGTATTATGTATGTGTTTACACACACACACAAGTTGTCCTTTGGTGTGTATATACTTTGTACTAGTTTTCTAGGACTACCATAAATTGCCATAGACAGAGTGGCTTAAATCACAGAAGTTTATTTTCTCACAGTTCTGGAGGTTAGAAGTCTGCGAGCAAGGTCCCCAGGGTTGGTTTCTTCAGGCCTCTCTGGTTGGCTGGTAGCTATCTCTCGTCTCCCTGCGCCTTCTTATGGTCTTCCCTCTATAACTCTGTGACCAAATTTCCTCTTCCTATAAGGACACCAGTTTTGTTAGAGTAGGACCCAGCTCGTTTTAACTTAATTGCCTCTTTAGAGATCCTATTTTCCAAATACTATTAGATTCTGAACTGTTGGGGGTTAGGACTTCAGCAAATGAATTTGGAGGGAGGGGACACAATTTAGCTCATGACAAACTTACCGTCATTACTATTATTATTGTTATTTTTTATATATATTCTGTGTCCCCCAGCCAGAATGGTAGCTTCATGATGGCAAGGAGTTTTTGTTGTTGTTATTGTTGTGTTGTTTTTAAAGATTTTACTTATTTATTTGACAGATTGCACAAGCAGGGAGAGTGGCAGGAAGAGGGAAAAGCAAGCTCCCACTGAACAAGGAGCCTGATGTGGGGTTCCATCCCAGGACCCTGGGATCATGACCTGAGCCGAAAGCAGACACTAAGCCAACTGAGCCACCCAGGCATCCCAATTGTTGTTCTATTTTAAAACATACCTAACATTTAGAACAATGCCAAGCAACATAATAGATGCTTAATAAATAATAATAAGAGTTCTAGCCTCTTGATAAGTTCTTTCATCTTAAACACTCCTTTTATCTCTGGAAAATTCTCTTAAATTTCATTGTTTTAGTGTCCCCCCTACTTCAGTTTTCTATATTACCTTTCCAGTACTCCTATGAATTAAAATTTGGACCTACTTGATTGATCTTGTCTCATTTTTAGTCAATCTGTTCTACTTTTTTGATGATTTCTTCAGTCTTAACTTCTAAACACTTCTACAAAGTATTATTTATTTTGTTAAACATGTATTTAACTTCTATGAGCCCTTTCCTTGGTCCTGTTCCATGACATTCTATTATTGTTTTATAGGTGCTATATCTTTGCTTATCTTTTTGCATTTAATAGGTCTTACTATGTCTCTTGTTTTCTGAATTTTCTGTTTCTTCCTAAGCCATTTTTTGTTTGTTTTTACTGTTAACATATTTCTTTTTGAGCATTTATCACCCAAAATTATCTGGCAGTCCTTGGTTGTACATTTTTATTTAATGGGACAGTAAAATACTAGTAGTTTTATTTTAGAAGTTTGAAGGTGGGATTTTTTTGCCCAGTGATGTCACTTTATGATGAGCAGGCAGTTACCCTGGAGGCTCCCTTCAAGGGAGAATGCGGAGGACTTTGGTTTCAGGGGCAAATCCTGACAGTGGCTGACTTAGGTCTCCTCAGATAATTTATTCAACTTTCTTAGATAAAAACCTTCCAAACTTTTTACCTGGCTGCTTGACTTGCCATACGTGGGAGTATGGAATCAATGGTTTCTTATATATGTTCTGAATTAATATCGTTGTTTTCACTTTTTACTCCCATCACATTATAGCTGGCATTTCCAGTTTCCAAACTCTGTAGTCCACAGGTCAAATTATGCTCCCTGTGGCTGTTGTCCTCGCCATGAGAGGCTCTCTCCTCTCTCTTGATCTGCTACCACTCCATCTGCATATCATCCTTCAGAAATATGTTGAAATCTGTTATCAGTTAATAAGTCTATCGTATTTACTTTGTTGTTTTGAGTTGTTACTTAAAAATATATGTATATATTTTTCACTTTGTGTTTCAGGGTGTCTGAGGATATTTGAGGAAAGAAAAGTTTGTCATCGGTTTGTCTTTTTTTTTTTTTAAATCAGTTTGTTTGTCTTGAATTAGGATTCCTCAATCCTTTAGTAATTGGACATATGGAATAGAATTTGAACTTATTTTGATAATGTGTATCTTCATTATAAATCTCCGTTACTGGCATGTGCTGCAGATTGTTAAAATACAAACATGAGACATAGGATTGGCTGTATACTTAAGTCCAGTAGAGGTTTTAGAATATGGACTCTTTAAACAAAAAACCTTGAGTAGTAATTATTTAGCGGTTATCACCACAGCAGCAGGACTAAAACTTTTATTGTTTTCTCTCTCAGTAGATTACCTTGTCTCCCACTCCACTCTTATTATCAAGGCTTTCTTTCTATCATGAACTTTATTTACCTTAAAACATCCTAGTTCCCTCTTCATGCTTCCATGTTGTTTCAGATGAATTGCTGGAACCCCATCTTTTGTGAAGCTGACTCCTCCATTTGCTGTCCGAAGTCCTAGATCTGTTCTTCTCCTGGATCTGCATTTACAAATATGTTCAAGTCTTCCTCAAAAACAAAAACAAACAAACAAAAAAGCCAAAACAAACAAAAACACCTTTCTTTCCATCTTTTCCTAAAGCTACTTTCATCAGGTGAAGCCCTCATTACTTCCTGAGTTTTGTCTCCCTTTAAATGTAGGTATTCTCTCTTAGTGTCTTCCTTTAGTCCACTATTTCCTTGTTCTTTTTCGGGGAAATCCCATTTACGCCCATGACTTTAGCTATCACTGAACCCTAATTGCTTTCCTGAAGTTCAGGTGTTCTTTCCACCTACTCATTAGTACCACTCAGTATATTCAAAGACAAACCCATTAATCATGTTCCACCCTCATCCTCCTAGCCTTAACAAACAAACAAACAAAAGAACCAGCCAAACACATTCTCTGTTTTTCCATGTTGATTGATCTGATTATCATTGTTTCAAGTCACATTGGAAAGAAATAGCTGTAGGGCTAGAAAACACCCACAGTTATTGCAGCCTAAATCACAGTAGAGTTATTTTCAAGTATAAGCTTCCTTGCCCTCTGACCTCATATTTTCCTTTTCCTGCGTCTAACCAAACTTCTCCATTTTTCTGATTACACACAGGTCTGCAATTAAGGCCTTACGCCCTGGAGGGTTGCTTGTGTACTCTACATGCACACTTTCCAAGGCAGAAAATCAAGATGTCATCAGTGAAATTTTAAACTCCTACACGAACATCATGCCTGTGGACATTAAGGAAATGGCAAGGACTTGCTCTCAAGACTTCACATTTGCTTCCACTGGCCAGGAATGTGGACTCTTAGTGATTCCAGACAAGGGCAAAGCCTGGGGCCCAATGTATGTAGCCAAATTGAAGAAAGCATGGACTACATGAAATTGGTGATATGCATTTTGTAAGCCATGACAGTGTATTATTATATTTACATTTCTGGGTTCTCAAGGTGTTAACATTTAAATAAATGTGGAGTCATTTTCCCTGGGTCTGTTTGGAATCCTGTTTACTTAATACTTGGCATCTCAGAATGTAGGCTTGAGGATTTTCCAGGTGTATTTTTTTCCTAGAAGTATATCTATAGCACTGGTTTCAGGTGTTGCAGATGGTGTTTGTTCTGAGTAATAAATCTGCTGTCTTTTAGTTGGCATTTTGTAGTTAAATTAATCAGAATATGTGGTTTTATGCATACTATGTTTAAGGATACATTGTATCCATGATGTTGGTGTTTTGAACCTTTAAAAATGGACATTTGGCTGTCCCTTTTATAATGTTTCTCCTTATCAAATATACGGATTCTTTCAGAGTCCACCCCCCCACATTTTTCTGTAAGAACTGATTAGTATTCTGAGACTAACTTCTTAAGCGGCACTATTTTGAGTTCTAGAAAATAGGTTTCTTATTTGCCACATTGTTTTCCACTAAGGACTATCTTCTGTTTACTGCAAAGGTCAGTGACTCTATTGACACCAGCTTTATTTCTCCACTTTTTTTTGTATTCACAAATACAAATTGAAAGGGTAAATTATGTTGAAAGGCTGTTAGAACAGCAGATTCACATGCACAAGTTTGACTTTCGACATTCAGCTTGTAGAATAATGGAGTCTATCCAGCAGGCTATAAAGCAAGTGCTTGAAACAAAACCAGAATGATTAATAACTGCAATAACTGAACTATATTTGGAGAGTTTTGTTACATAATTGCAGTCATAATGAGCACTACAGAATCTGATTATCTTACAGTTGCAATCTGGAGGGGCTTTTTATTTCACTCCCGTTATGAAATGTTATATGAGAGTATGATGTCACATATTAATGCACAGGAGGGAGATGCCTAGTGAGAGTGGATTATATTATTACCAAAACCCAATACCATTTACTGTGTGGCTCTCCCTGTTTACATATATCCTGGAATATTGTGTACATTTTTGTATATGTACTTAGGGTTTTAGCTTTAGGTTTGGATCATGTTTTTTCTCTAGAAATTGCTTCACTTAGAGTCCAAAGGTACTTTACCAACTATTAAGAAAAATTATGCAGCACACTTCAAAAGATAGTATGTATTTGGAAATTAACTTAAAAAAAAAACTAAAGAAATAGAAAATTCTGCTGAAGCTGAATCCTTTTGAATTTGTTTACTATATTCTGCATATTTAAACTAGAGACTCTTATCTCCTGGACTGGTCCCCCCAACCAAGCATATATAACCAGTTTCTTATAGCTGGGAAAGAAAAAGCTGGATCTCTTGGACTCAATGAAATATTTTGGATTAAGACAGAAAATTAAAGATACTGGAAAATGTATTTTTTTTATTTATTTTAAGTTTGTATTTGTTGGCTTATTTATTCAGTTGAAAAACTTTGCCTTCATGGGATGCCTGGGTGGCTCAGTGGGTTAAGTTACCTGCTTTCGGCTCAGGTCATGATCCCAGGGTCCTGGGATCAAGTCCCATGTCAGGCTCTCTGCTTAGTGGGTGCTTGCTTCTCCCTCTTCTCCCCGCTCATGCTGTCTTCTCACTATCTCTCTCTCTCTCTCTCTCCCTCTCTCTCTCAAATAAATAAATAAATCTCTAAATAAATAAATAAATAAAACCTTGTCTTCAGGTACTCTAGTTAAAAAGTACCTTTATTCTGTGTAGGTTGATCACAAAGTAAATTTTCACAGTGCACTTTGTTGAATGTCATTATTTTTCCAACATGCTGCCATGAGGCCTAATCTGAATACTCAATGTGCCATTGGATTTGACCTGCCTATGATTACTGAAAAATGCAAATATAGATACATATATAGCTTACTTTATTGTTGACATTAATTATAATGAAACAGCTGGCATTTATAGAGCCTTAAACATTTGATTAATTTCTTTATATAAATGTTGTCTTTCTTGATCTTTAAAACAACTTGAGTATTATAACTGCCTTTTGTGAATGAGAAAACCCTAGCTCAGTGCTGTTTGTAGCTTGCCAAGGCTACACTGGTAAGTAAAGAGTGGAGCTGGGATTAAAACTAACTCTGGAGTCCAGGACCTTCTCCGTATACTGTGCTGTCTCACAAGATAGAGATTATAGGAACCCCCAGGATTACAGCTGGCCCTTATTCTCCATCTCAGGTTTTCACTTGTATGCAATTCTTTAGTCACAGAGCATCAAAGGGCTAATCAACACTTGGGGGGAAAACTGCAGTATTTCAGAGTGTGCTCTAAACTATTTCTTGTGATTGCAATACCCAGAAATCTCCCATGGAGGTGCTCTATGCCTTCCTGTTCTTTGCAGATGCTGAACTGAGGAACAGAAATTTGGAGCAGCCTTGCGATGTCAATTGAAAAGCAAAGAGTAATTGATATTACTTTCTGTGGCATTGAATTACTTTCAAAATAGCTTTATAAAAATTTAGGTTGCTTACCAACACATTAACTTCTCTCTGCCTTCAGCACGCTGAAGAGCCACTGGTTTCAGAAATAGACTATGAATAAATGTAATGCATTTAAATGGTTTGTACTGAATTTTTAAAGCATTTGATATTATCTGTGGTTTGGAATCAAGGTGGCCTATAGTCCTTTATCCTATTATATGTATCCATATAGCCTCATATCCAAGATTGCATGTTACTCCCTTAGCAGTATTGTGAAAAATATCCTTTTATACAATGTGAGTAGGTATAAAATAATAGGTACCAGAACACTTGCTACATGACTAAGTAAAGTAATCACAAATGTAATAGGCCCTCATCCAAGAAGGCCTTATACCTGGAAGATAAGCATCAGATGATCTGCATAGGCTGATGCAACTTGTCTGGAATACAAAGAGAAAATTGGAACCAATAGCAACAGTTTTATTAGATGCAAAGAAGTCCTTTGATGCAGTTGAATGGAACTCCTTGTATTATGTGTTAGGTAAATTTGACTTTGGGGACAAATATAACAGATAGCACAACCCATTTATATGGTTCAAATCAATGGTTTACAATCTCCCTTTCCTTGCCTTATTGCTGCACTGGGGAGTAAGGATGGTACCCAATACTGATGTTACTTTTCAGGCTGACATTGGAGTTACAATATCATCCAGATCCTGTGGGTATCTGAAAGATATTCAGATGAAGGTTCACAGATTAACTAATGTCTGCTGATAACCTACTACTTGCGCTGAAAGCCCTAACGGCATCTGTCCTGAAAACATTAAAAGTCATGTCAGTATTTGGAATGGCTTCATGTTGCAAAGTCATGGGAGAGAATCAGAAATACTACCTTAACAGAATAGTTTCTGTTAATATTACTTATTGTGTGACATTTAAAATAAGATGAAAATTTAACAAGAATTGATTTGGGATTCTCATTAGGGAATGATTAGATAATAGAATGAAAACAAAGACAAATTTAAAAATCGACCTATAATTCAATGCTCAGATTTTTAAAAAATAGGTTTCACTAAATCTAAGGAGGAAGAAAGCCTGGCAAAGCATATATCTCTTTAAAATTTAATTAGCTCAATCAAATATTAACTCCATACCTTTCTATAACTTTTCACAAATGAAGAAAGTAATTTATTTCCTTAGTCATGTGAGATCATATAGTCATGTTGAAACTGGGTGAAAGCATATGCTACCTTAGAAAAAGGACTTTTTTTCTCACTGGAAGCTATTTGATGGCATACGTCATGACTCAATTAAGCTTGCTGTGGCTTGTCAGAGGGATTTTCTGCTGCATGTTGCTATGGAAGAGCCTATTACACACAAATAACTGTACAACCTAGCAGAATCAACAGAGACTAAAAACATAACTTATTGGAAAATAAGAAGCAGGACCCAGTTTCTTCCTAGTTCTTAAAAACAAATAGGAGTACAATTGCAGGTATTAATAAGAATGGACAAAGTTAAGAGGGCTTAGCACTGGTGATAGAAAAGGGGACTGAATATTCCAGCTTTTAATTACTAATTTATAGTGTGAGTTTGTAGTTCATAACTGCAACTCTTTTTTTTTAAACATTAGCCTTTTTTTTTTTTTTAATATTCATCCACTTGATAGCGTGGGAGATCACACAAGACGTTGGGCGGGGGGGGGGGGGGGTTGCGGCAGGCAGAAGTAAAGGGAAAAGCATGCTCTTCGCAAAGCAGGGAGCCCAATGTGGGACTCGATCCCAGGACCCTGGGATCATGACCTGAGTTGAAGGCAGACACTCAGCTAACTGAGCCACGAAGTGCCCCATAACTACAACTCTTTTTTTTTTTTTTTTAAAGATTTTATTTATTTATTTGACAGACAGAGATCACAAGTAGGCAGAGAGGCAGGCAGAGAGAGAGGAAGGGAAGCAGGCTCCCTGCTGAGCAGAGAGCCCGATGCGGGACTCGATCTCAGGACCCTGAGATCACGACCTGAGCCGAAGGCAGCGGCTTAACCCACTGAGCCACCCAGGCGCCCCATAACTACAACTCTTAAGAAAAAGGAAAAGGGGACATGATGGTGGCAATTAGCTCTAATGCTACTGGAAATTGTTCCGTATGATATAGCCATGAATAGCCAACTAGTCATACCACATTTCCACAGGTAGATATCCTTCTTGGCTTGATTATAAGAAAACCTCAGCTTGTCGTTAATTATAACAAATATGTTTAATAAACAGAGCAGACTACATAAACTACCCATGTTTTATTAAAAGAAAAGTTTGCTTTTGTCATATATTCTAGCACAGATAATCTCTGTTAAATATTCTGTATGAAGCTATAGCTGTGCCCATAGACCTGTTATTTTCAACTGCCTAGTTAACCTGGCCATACAGAGTTAACCAGGTTCCCTTCTCACCCCACAGTATCAAGTTGGGTGAAGCAAGTTGATAGAGTTTCACAAGAGGTGATTGTGAACCAGGAGAATGGTTCAGAAGAGGTTTAAGTAGGATCTGGAATATCACTCTGGGATAAGGTCCCGATTGAGTCAGTCAAGCATGTTTGCAAGTAAAGGACACTCTAGTAGGCCTAAAGGGCTGTAGGATACACTTCCAGGAAGCACATCAGTTTATGTGTTCGTCTATCTGGTCACACCCTCTGCATTCACTGAGGACTTTAGGGTCTAGCTCATATCTTCTCCATTGGAACTCCTGACAAAGGCTGGATTCAACACCTTTCTGGAAAGCCCATCCAATATCCTACCCTTCTGATTCTTTTACTGACTCTCTCAATGGCTTTTGTCTTCACTATATACAGTATCTCACATTCTTGGACATTTCCTAGAACTTGGTGTTAGCTAGAAGCACACTCTTCAATGGAGCTTTCTACATGATGGCAGTGTTTTATCTGCCATGTGCAATATGGAGAATACGGTAGCCATGTTTGGCTACTTAGCACTTTAAATGTGGCTAGTGTGACAGAGGAACATAATTTATATTTTAATTAATTTAACTATAAATAGCCACCAGTGGCTTTTGGCTACCATATCAGATAGCACAGATCTAGAATTTCTCTACTTAGGAAAAGTTAATCTCAGTATCTTCTATCCTTTCAGCTCTCTTACTCATTCTCATTAAAACTGCAGTCCAATCTTCTTGACGCCTGTAGTTTTTAAACCTTTTTTCCTCAGAGGCTATCCATTCCTCTTGCAGTCTCTTTTCCTTATCTGTCCTCAATCCTGTGATGAATGCCTTAAAACTTTTTTTCTGACACTGATATTATCTCCTCATACTTTTGGATTCTATGGCATCTAACATTTAAAATTACAACTCTGGATCAGCCTAGTAGTTCCTGCATCTACCTCTGTCATACCTGGATGGCTGAGCATTGTTTGGAAAAAAAGAAAACCAAATAGGAGTGTGGACTGATGTCACTACATATTCATACACCTGTACAGGTTGATTTCACTGCAGATTCATGTTCCCTTGTCTCCTGTAAGACTTTTACACTGCTCAATCACTTTGGCCATTCTTTGGCCAGCTTTCTTCTCCATTCCCATTAATGACTTTTCCAAACCTCCACAATTTTCTACAACTGTCCTATATAAACACTCTCCTCTTTTCTGTCAGAAGATGGTCCTGTCTCTTAGTTTCTTGA